CGCCCTCACAGGACCCCGACGCGTCGGAGCAGGAGCAGGACGAGGCCCTCAGCCGCCAGCTGGCGGCCGTCGCGGACGCGCTGTCGGACCCCGCCCCAGCCGTCCGCGCGGCCGCCGCGCCCGGCGCGTGCGCGCTGCTGGACTGCTACTGGGAGATCATCCCGTCGGCCACGACGGCGGCGTTTGTGGCAAAGCTGACGGGTGCGATGGCCGGCTGCCGTGATCACATGTGTGGCTACGATACTGGCGGGCACCAGGCCTCCCTTGCAGGGCCACGCTAGTCTCATGCACCACACTCTCCATAATAAACGCAACTGCCGTGTGCGAACAAGCACACGCACGCCAAAGGCCGAGCCTCGACTGACAAACCGTAACCCGCAAAACAACACACCCCAGACCAGCTCGCGTTTGACGCCGCCGCGCCCGGCGTGAGGGCGGCCGTCCTGGAGGGCCTGCGCCTGCTGGTGGACAACGTGCACGCGCAGCCGGTGCTGCGCCGCGCGCTGCCGGGCCTCGCGCCGCTGCTGGGCGACGCGGCGCCGGCGGTGCGGGTGGGGATGGCGGACCTGCTGCTCACGATCTCCACCAGCCGCGGCCTCAAGTTCTGGGAGGTGCGGGCCAAACAACGTTCTTCCTGGAATGTGCCGTAGATTGATATTGCAACGCCGTGCAGTCAGGGGTGGACTTTAACGGGCACCATGCCTGGTGTTTTCCGGCAGGCCGGCATCATCGCGCTCCTGACGCCCCCCCTCCATTGCCTTCCCATCAGAAAGCAGCTGCAGCCCCTATTCGAATCCCACCTGGTGCGCGCGCTTTTTTGTGACCCCTCAATGCGCATCTATCAGGTGGTCCCCCTGGAGGCCCTCCTGGAGGTGCTGGCGCGGCCCCCAGGGCCAACAGGCGACGACGGCCTGACAGCACGCGTGCACCACCTGCTGGTGCCCAGCTACCTGCCCAACACAGAGGAGGGCGCGGTGGGTTTTTGGGGTTGGCAGCCTGGCACGCCACGGAGCCGCCACATCAGCACTCCTTTGCCCCGAAAGCCTGCTGGCTCGCTGGCGTGTGCAGCCCTTCACCCTAGCTGACCTGCCGGGCATTTTCAGGCGCACACATTTGATGATGCTGAGTGTCTGCGGGCGGAGTTGTCATTGGTTCGCCCCCTTCTCCCACGCCACGCAGGCTCGTGTCGCCGCACTTCTTCGCAGCAGCCCCGCCGCCGGCCGCGCGTTCTGCCGCCTGCTCGTCGCGCCGCTGCTCGACGGCGGCGCCGCGGCGCCGGGCGCCGGCCAGAGGGTGCCGGTGCCTCTCGAGTGGGTGATCTCGCTGGCGGCCGCCCTGGCCTCACACCTGGCGGACCACCCGCCGGCGGCCGACCCCCACAGCCCGCCCCGCAAGACCCGCGGCCGCCGCGGCGGCGCCGCCGCGCCGGGCGCCGCCGACGGCGCGGCGGTTCGCGGCGGCGGGAAGCGGAAGAAGGCCCCGGCGGCGGCTGTGGCAGCGGCGGCGGGGCAGGAGGGTGAGGGCGCGGAGGGCAGCGGGGACGAGGCGGAGAGGGACGTGCTGGCGCTGGGGGCGCAGGAGGAGGCCGCAGAGGGGTGGTGCGCCCTGCTGGCGGGCCTTGCTGAGCTGGCGGGGGGCGTCGGCGCCGCGCTCAGGGCGGAGCTGTGTGAGTGGCCGGGGGAAGCGGCCGGGGGCGGCTGCTGCCCTGATACGGCGGCGCGGTGGCGGGCTGGGCTCCGGGGGGTGGGGACGAGCAGCTGGCACCTGCCTTCCGGCGTCGGCGCATTGCCGACCGCGCCATGCACCCACAGCCGCTTGCCCGTGCGTGCGCTACCCCGCCCCGCTCGCGAGGCGATTCATCGCCCGGTGCACTGCTTGGGGCGTTTGCGTGTCGCCCGCGTCGCGCGTTTTCAAGCCAATGCTGACCACCGCCACCTGCCTGCAGGCGGCGAGGGCGACTTGGAGGGCATGCTAGCCCCAGGGGCCCTGCAGCAGCTGCTCGACAGCTGCCCAGCCCCCGAGCCCCGCCGTCACGTCTGGAGCATCGCCGAGCACCTGCCCTGCCTCCCCGCGGCCGCGCGGCTGCGCGCCAACACGCTGAAGCAGCTGGCTTCCGGGCAGCTTCTCGAGATGTACGGGAGCACCTTCGACGGCGCCGGCGGCGCGGCGACGGCGAGCACCAGCGGCGCTGGGGCCGCCCACTCCCACGGCCACAGCCGCGGCCGCGGCCGGCTTGGGGCCAGCGGCGGCGCGGGCGGCGGTGCCGAGCTGGAGGATGGGCAGAGGCGGCGCGAGGAGCTGCGGGCCATCCTGGCGTGCCTCGCGGCGGCGCCCTGCTGCGCCAAGCTGTCCGCGCTGCTCTCGCGCGCGCTGGGCCTGCCGTGGGGCCCGGGCGGCGGCGCCGCCGCGCAGGGGGGCCAGCCGCGGGAGCAGGCGGCCGCAGGTGAAGGAGAGGAGGCGGCTGGTGATGACGAGCGGGATGACGACGACGATGACATCGCCTGCAAGGCGTGCGGCAAGGCCCAGCCGGACCACAACCTGCTGCTGTGCGACGGCTGCGATGCGGCCTACCACACCACCTGCCTGCGGCCGCGGCTGGCGGCGGTGCCCGACGGGGAGTGGTTCTGCCCGGGCTGCGACACCGACATCCGCAGCAGCCAACTGGCGGCGGGCGGCGCGGTCGAGTGAGCGGGCGCCTGGGGCAGGGGAGCTGCAAGGTTGTTTGGCTGAAGGGGGGTTGGGTGCTGACCGCCGCAGCAGGCGGGGACGTTCAAAAGCTGCGCCGTGCGAGCATCAGGCTCTCACGCCCTCCTGTCCTGTCCTGTCCTGTCGCCATAAGGGCACAGGACTGTGCAGCATTCCTGTCGTTTCATAAAAAAACAAAATTCACCTCACGCGCGTGCAGGTGCCTGGGCCTGCTCCTGGGGACAGCCCCGGGGCGCCACCTGCTGCAGCAGTCCGGCCTCCTGGCCTCCGCGCTGCCGGCGCTGCAGCAGCGCTCTGCGGCCGCCACGGAGGCGGCCCTGCGCCAGCTGCAGCCCGCTGCCGCAGCCGGCGCCGGCGCCCGCGGCCGCAGCGCGGGCCCTCCCGCGGCCACGAGGGACGGGGCGCTGGCGGCGTGCGGCGAGGCTGCCGAGGCCGCCTGCCTGTGCGCCAGGGCCTCGATACACCTGGCAGGCCTGGCGCTGCTGCACGCGCTCGTCCAAACGGCGGACGGGCCCGGCGCCGACGAGGGCGCGTGCGCCGCCTCAGACGCCGCGCGTGCCGCCGCGGCGGAGGGGCTTTTCGGGGCGCTCGCCGACGGCAGCAGCGCGCTCGCATCCGCCGCGGACTGGCTGGCGGGCGGCGGCGGCGGGAGCGGCGGCAGCGGCTGGGGGGACGCGGAGGGGGCGGCGCACAGGCTGGGCGGCCCGGCGAGGCGGCTGGCGGGTGGTGCTGCGGCGCTGCTCGCGCTCTCAGGGGACGCGCTGCGGATGGGGCTCGTTGCAGCGTCGGACTCAGTAGGTCGCGAGCAGGCGGCGGCGTGCGGGCGCAGCGCGCTGGCGCTGCTCGTCGCGCTGCAGCCCTGCGCCGTGGAGGGGCCTGTGGAAGGTGGGTCGGCCGCACCTCTCCTGGATGACACCCTCATATCCCACTCAGCACCAACTTTCCATATGCCCATTGACTGTTCCAGACTGCACTCCCTCTGCATCACACGCATCGAATACACGCGCCCACACATCCCTTTCATCGGCTGCTTGCAGCTCCTCCAACTCCTCACTTGTGCCCGCCCCTTCCCCCTCTCCCCTCTGCCTGCAGATGCCCTGAAGGGCGACACCGCTCTTCTGCGCTTGCTGGTGGCGCCGCCGCAGGACGCCGGCGCCGCAGCGGATGGGGACGGTGGCAGCGGCGGCGGCTGCGAGCAGCTGAGCGCCTGGGTGTCCGAGTGGCTGTCCGCCCTCTGCGCCGGCCCGCTGGCGGGCACGGCCGCGTCGGTGCGGCCGCACGTCCCCGCGCTGCTGGGGGGCCTGATGCGGCCGTCCGGGGCGGGCGCGGCCGACGCGTGGCTGAGTCCGCTGGCGGAGGCGGTCGCGGGCGCGGCCGTCGAGGCGGCGGGCGGCGCGTCGTCGGGCGGCAGCGACAATGACGTCAGCGACGGTGACGTCAGGGATGACGAGGACGACGCAGAGAACGCGGACCCCAACGTGCAGAAGGGGGGGCCTGGCGCCGGGGACGGCAAGGCGGCGGCGAAGCGGCGCGCGGCCGGCAGCAAGGCTGGTGGTGGCGGGGCCGGGGGCCCACTGGAGGTGCAGCCGCTGGTGGCGTATTTCGTGCAGGCCGCCAAGCTGAAGAAGGTGAGTTATGGTGGGGGTGATGTGCTGTGCTGTGCTGAGCCCTGAGGGTCCATGACGACCTGGATGCCTTTGCAGACTTTTACGCGGACAAGAGCAGGGCTGCGAGAGTCTGCTCGGCAAATCAGGCGGTGATTTGCAGGAGGGGCATGCACATCAGAATCATGGCAGCGGCGTACCAACGCGCCCCTGCCTGGCAATGTCACCACCACAGGTCGAGCGCGACGTGGCGGCGCGCTGCGTTGCGGCGTCCGTGGCCGCCGGCCGCGCCGGTGACTGGCGGGCGAGCCTCGGAGCCCTGCGCCTAGGGCGCGTGCTCGGCGCGTTCAAGGCGGGGCCCGGTAGCACGGCTGACCAGGACGCTTTGGCCGCGCTCGGGGGCGTGCACGCGGCGGCCGCGGCGGCGGCGAAGGGCGGCGGCGCGGCGCAGGCGCACGCGCGGCTGCTGGCCGGGCAGATTGAGCGGGTCGAGACTGCAGCGGCTGCCGCGGCGGCTGGTGGGCGGCGTGCGGACGGCCGGGGGAGGCGGTGATCGCGGCGGTTGAAGCGGTCTCGTTTGACGCATGAGGACACTTGCAGTTGCTTGTTCTGGCCCGGAGCTGACTGATATATGCCAGCGCCGCTGGCATATGTCCCTGGGCATATGTCCCGCCTGCAGGCGAGCGCCGCTGGCGAATGCCCCTGGGACGGGGGCGGCCGACTGTCATGACCTGACCTGCCCACTTACATAAGAATCTTTATAGGCGATGTGCCATGCTTCTATGTTGCAGATTTCGCTGTTGCGGACCGGGCCAGGTTGCGTCACTGCAACGATCACCGCCCGTAGCTGTAAACGGGCCGCTACGCTGCAGCAACCGCATGCTGCTACCGCAGTGTCCGTGGTGGAGGGAAAATTTGCAGGGGCGGGTGCACCAGCACCTATTGCATGCAATGTGCTCATGCTATCTGATGTACGGGGTGCAGGGGTGGTCTCTCGGCGTTCCACCTCCAGGGGTTGACTCTCACGGGAGCAGCTGTTGAGAGAGCTTGGGGGGTTGTCACGTCTGCGATCATGTTCAGCGTTTTTCCTCGGTCCCAGCCTGTCTGTAAAGCTGCCATATCCCAACATTCTGCGAGTGTGCGCAAACAACTAAAGCAGCATGCAAGTCGCGCCCACCGCAGCTCGGGCGTCACTCCAGTGACGAGGGTGACTTCCGGCGCGCGGCCCACGGGGTGGCTGATAGGGGCGACGCGCACCAGCATCATGACTTAGAGGATCTGCTGTGTGCGTTAAATTAAGTCAACTTCACGATCAGGCCCTGATTAGCTGCGATGCAGAGTCGCGTCGTGCTGCCCAGCGGCACCCGGGCTTTCAGCGCTGGTCGAGCCTTCAGCAACGTTAATCGGAGGAGCGCGAGGGCCATGGCAAGCTCGAGTGGCGATCAGGTGCGGTGAAATTGAGTGGAGCACAACGCTGGATCGCGCAGGTTGCAGCCGCTGCATGAGGGCGCTGCAAAGCATCACTGGCATTCGTAACATATAATTGCTAGATGTTTGGATTGGTGTTTGGTACCACACGTCGCAAAGCTTGGAATTGCGACGCAAGCACTGCTGCCGGTGCTTCTTGTGCTGTGTGGAGCACGGTGGGGTGGGCGGTCAAAATGCACGCGCCGCGGACACGCCACAACACCACTAGCGAGTGCTTGCGCCGATGTTAGACCCAATCATGTTTTCGTCAGGCGGCATCGATACACATCGGCATCAACACTGGCCCTGCTTGACATTCGCGACCTGCCCTCCTTTGTCCACTGCTCAGCCGCCCGCCGACGGCCTCCGCAACGCCGGCCCCGAAGCAAAGCGCTTCACCGTGGCCGACGGCCAGCTCGGCAACATCGCGACAGCTGCGTTTGCTGCCTTGATACGCCTGGGGTCAGGCGGCTTTGCCTCGGGCTACTCCAGCGGCCTCAAGGCCGACGATGGGTCCTACGGCGTCCTCAAGGCGGCCGGCCGCAGCGTGTCGGAGGTGCGCCGGCAGAGCACGCCGTCGAGCGCGAGTGCGGGCGGCTGCGCGTGACCTCACGCGCTGCAGCGTCCTTCTCTGCGCGGCCCACAGATCGGTCCGCCCGCAGTTGCACCGGCGTTTCTTCCAGGCTCGTTTAGGAGTCCTCTTCACGTGCCCGATCCTGTTTGCGGCGGGCCTCTCACCCATCCTTTCCTGGGAGTGCTGCAGATCTAAGGATTACCGATCGCAGCGTGTCTGGAACCAAGATCACCTCACTTTCCCCCCACACACACAACCTCTCGACCGTCCACGCC